TTTGGTTTGCTACATTCATCGGTGTCTTGTAGGCTTGTGGTCATGCTATGTGTCCAATGCTATCCTCCCTGATCTCTTTTGATCTCCCATGTGAATGACTTTATTGTGAGCTTTGCATTTTGTAAATGAGGTCATGTGTGGGACTTTTCGTCGCATGGGACATCCACGCTCATTAGACCAAATCAGGTCTCCAGCACCACATTCTCTGTCTGTTCATGAATGTCTGTTGTTTGTTGCTGATGTCAGGTTGAGAGTGATGTTAATGGTTTAAAATGATGGTGATGAGTTGTGGTCATGTAAGCTGAGGCATTATGCTCACTTGCTTTAAAACAAGAGGAAACGGGGGATCAGTTGGTTCAATCAAAATAATTGACACATTTTGAATGACTGAATGTGAACAGCTTTGATTTGGTTTGATTGTAAGTGTCACACCTCAGAAGCAGTGCTCTCATTTATGCCTCTCATTTGGAAACCCATCCACTAGTTGAATGTCGGGGTTCTAGATCAGTTGTTCCCTCTCAAATTTGCAATGTCCTGCAATGGCATTGTTTTGGCCATTCTGCTGTCAATTAGATCAGTGTTGGCTGACCTGCTGTGAAACGATAAAGCAATTTGAGGAGACTAAACTACAATGACAATGGGCGTGAAGACAAGTGAATGCACCTTTAACCTGAGTCTTGTTACTATTTTTGTTGGTTGCTTCACATAACAATTAAAGATCAAATACGCTGTAACTGGCAGTTGTTTTCTTGCTTAACATGACAGCTGCTTTTAGTGTGGATAGGAAAAAACCCATAGTAATTATATAACCTCAAATATGTCTATTTTCCTCCTCAGATAGTTTGATGTTGGAAATCGATGCGTTTACTCACCTTCTTAATGACTTATTTTTCTTTCAGAGCCAGTTTTCCAGGCCGGGGTTCCTCTGTCCACACCGGAAGAATGACGTAGACTGGACTCTTTGCGGCAACGCCAATCCACACCTCAGTGGCACGTCGCAGATGGAAGGTATCTCGCCTCCGCATGTTGAAATCTCTTTCAACACACAGAAAAAAAAGTGAGAGTTGCAGCACTGTAACGGTGATGTCTTTTGATGTTGCAGTGGTGCACATTGAGAAGATCATTCTGAAGGAGGTTTCTATGGGAGGAGACGGCAGGCAGTACAGTTTTGAGGTAAGTTCAAAAGCCCATCAGAGACGCTGAGTTTCAACACTGACATTTCATCTAAAAGAAGCTTAGAGAGCTCCAGGATTGTGGGAAATGCTTTAGAATGAGATGTACCCAGTTCCATGTCATGCCAATAAGAGAAAGTCTCCTTAGAAAGTGAGAAGAAATTTTGAGGTAGTTATACAAAACTATGTCAAAATCCGTACAGGTCTGCACATAATCTGTTTTTCACAGAATGCAAATGACTGTATTTTAATGAATTTGCATTAAAATAATTAGTTAACTCTAATTCTAGATAATTAGTTCATTCTTACAGATACCAATTAAAGTAATATTTGGAGATATTCAAAACATTTTCCCCACATAATCATTGCTAAACATTATAGCATTACAGTAATTTTTTTTAAATATTGTATTGATATCCATATATATATAATATTAATATATAGCTGTATAATAATATGGGCTTGGATCGCTACGGAAGAGATTAAACTTAACATGAAATCAAAATGTACCCTATTCTTGTTTGTTATTTCAAAGAAACCCGCCTGGCTCCATCCTGGTATGTTAACACCCATTCAGTCAATTCCCAATGGATAAAATCAAGTCCTACACCACTTTTTCCCCCCTCATTGAATATCGTGTTCCATTCGGAAGTACGCAGTAAAGTAAAGTTTGACTTTAAAATTATTTGTTTTATTTGTGCCCATGTTGCTGGTTAAAAAGGACATTAATGTAGTGTAGGTACGGTGTGAATCAATGCAGTTAATGTCTTAGTAGCAGCTGTTGTTTCAGATTTGCATGCACGCTTTGCATTATTCATGGTGTTAAAAAGGCCTCAATATGAGGCACTCAGCCTCTGTGGTTCCAGATGTGACCTGAAGGCCGAGCTATGCTCTCGGCTGTGTACATGAGATTTCTGTCTCTCCGGGTGAGGAAACATGCAAAGCCTGAGCTGTAAACATCCGGTTGTTGATACAGAGTTGACAGCCTCACCAAAGAGGCTTTGGCACAGCTCACAGTGAGAGTATGGGAGAGTGCCAAAACAGTCAGGGAGAGAGAGAGAAAGAGAGAGAGAGAGAGAGAGAGAGGCCTGACTGAGAGAAGTGCTTTCCTTTTCCTTTGCCTAATGTATCGTGTCATTTTCAGGGTTGAAAATTACCCTGGAATCCTGCAATACAGTTTTATCACAAAAGCTGGGTCGAGGGCATGGCACGATAAATATCCTGTAAAATATGAAATTGAGGAAAGCAAGATGATTATCTCACAATGTTGTGCAAGTAGCCTGTATTGTTTGGGCTGTACTGCAATTGTCTGATGTCTTCGATAAATGACAAATGAGTCATTTTGGCATTTGTAGTTTGAATAAATGGTCTATTTGGTCAACACAATTGCATTCACAACCCATTGTTCTTCAATACGTAAAACTGAGGATTAAAGTGTGCATAATATGACCAAGAACATCATAAAAAAAAGAGAGAATGTTTAAGTTTTTCGTGTTCTGGTCATGTTGAGCAACTAGTTTTAGATTTTTTTTTTTTTTTTTTTTTT